AGCTGGACTGGCACTATTAGGGCCGGAGGGTTCCATTCCCGAAGATGGCGGACCGGTCGTTGCGAAGCGGCTTAGCATGCCTTCTGGTCTATCACCATCGACGTGCCAGGCTTCGTAATCTTTGGTGCCGGCAATTGTGTGGGCGTGCGTGCCATTTCTGGTGGTATTCGTACTTGGGGAATCTGCACGGTAGACTTCCCGACAGCGAATTTTCTCAATGTCCCAGATTGTGATTTCATTGCCGTAGCTTCCGCTGCCGGAGACACATACCCATCGCCCCCGTCCTTTGGTTGGATGCACCTGTATTCGATGGATTGGTCCTGAGCCTGAGAGACCCCATGCCTTGAGGCGGACGCGGAAGCGGAGATCCCAGAGATCTAGGATTCCGTGCGTAGTACCTACGAGTAACCAATTGTGTTTGCGGTCGCAGCAGAATGTGGTTGGTGTGCCGTGGTGGACGGGATTGTGGAGTGAGTAGATTGGGAGCATGGTTTTCATGTCCAAGGCCAAGATTCGGCATGTGTTGGTCGCGATCAGGAGAGTTGACTGTGCGTCGACGCGGAAGTGTTCCATCCACATGGCGTATTCCGGAGACCCGTCTTCAGCCGTAGGGAGTTGGTAATCACGGACGAGCTGGAGTTTGCCATACCGGACGGTGTCGTTAACATTATGATAGTCAACTTTGACAGCATTGATACTCCCGTCGGTAGCTCCACTCAAGAAAGTATAGGTGTTTTCGATAAAGGTCAATGTCTTCACTTTCGCCCCCGGGGCATGACGATGGGTCTGGCGGGATCTTGGGGTCAGGTTCTTCTCCAGACGGGTGGTATCCCAGATTTTGACAGTGCTGTCGTCCGATGCAGTCACGAAAAATGCGTGATCTGGAGCCACTGCAATGCGATTTACAGCAGTGCTATGTTCGCCGAATATGGCAACGAGCCCGCCCTCTGGTTTCCAGACCTTGTTTGCATCTTGGCCGCTAGCCTTTTTGATTGGGCGTCGCGGATCTACTTCCTTGACGTACGGACCCAGATCGAAGAAGTCGGTGGGATAGTTCTCCGAAAAAACATTGTCGAGTAATCGTAAGACCGTAGGATCGTCTCCCCCGTAGGAATGATTAGCATGGAACTGTGGCGGTTCGAACTCGAGCGGTTTCCTCTCATGCGTGAGTGAAAGGGGTGATTGCTGTCGTTCCCGTTGTGACGGCAAATCAACTTTGCCAACCGCATTAGCAGAGCTCATGCTAGTCTCGGCATCGGCCTTGACTTGGTCTTTGCGGTTCAATAGACTCATAGCACTCGATTTTCGCTGCACACCGCCCAAGTTCTTCAGTACGGGGTCTGTATCAGCCGGTGACAATGAGCTATTATCCTGTGTGGGGCTATTGGGACTATTCCGGCTCCCTAGGATTCTCTGCTCGGTATCAGAGGAAGGTGGTGACCCAGGAGCACCTGGTGACGAGGCCATCGGGGATGTCGCAGCCGAAGATTCTCCTCGGATATTGTCCTGTCGCGGGACTGCCAGCGTAGCTGTGTCTTTCTGCGCTTGGCTTCTTGACCGCAAGTGCTTGCGTCGATTATTAGGTGCACTGTCAATCGTAGTTGAAGCATCGAGCAGCGCATCGGTGATTGTATGCGGCCGCTGTTCCCCATTTCTGGCGCTATCAGGTCTACTCACTGAGCCTCGCCGGGGGTTGATATTCTGATTCTTGTCGAAGAAGACCGTCTGCGGCGTAACTCCGTACTGTGTGAGGGGGATGACGTCGTTCAAAGTCGGTTCGGCAGTTGTTTCTTTTGATTGGCGCATTGATACCCTCCAAACGTATCCGCGGAGTGCGAGCAGTTTGAACTCATCTTCTGAGCTCATTCCCAGACCCCTCAATCGAGACAGCCACTGATCGTCCTCTTCGTTCTTTGGTTGCGAATTCATCGAGAGCCCAGCGTGTCTCTGGCTTCGAGCAGCATAGCTATCACTGCCTCCTAGACTAAACAAACTATCACGACTGGTCGACTTCCAGAAGACGCCTCTCTCGACCTTGGATGCCCAAATAAAAGCCATATCGTACACGTTCCTCGAAATCGGTTTCTTCAATGCATCGAGGATTTCGGCCTCCGTGAATCCCACAATGTTGAACTTGAGAAAGGGCTTAATCATCGGCGTGAGGATCGAGTATTTATCAGCAATGGATAAAAACTTGGTCGAGTTAACAAGGAAGTGTACGGCAGCTTCGCGGATCCAAATGCTCGGGTGGACCAGGAATCGCAAAGTAATGTTGAGAAGATCCCATGTCGTCGACCGCTGGAACAGTCCTACATCTGCCATCGCAGCGAGAGAGCGAAGAACCCTCTCCACCACAAACTCTTCCGGTTCTGTCATGGATTGAACCATCAGCGGCAAAATGTATTGTTCCAAGCTAGTGCTTCCAACGTAAGTTGCAACGCCGATGACGGCCTCGAAAAAGGCGCATTTCAAGATCCAATCCCGGTCATTGAGGTAAGTATTCAAGTGACTCAGAATCACCTCATTCGTTTTGTGGTTGCCGAAGAAAATACAGAGATTAGACACTGACCCTAAGAAGGCACGGCGGACAGATGCATCATTGTCCGTGAGAAGGGCTTTGGTATGGGCCTCGAAGTAGTCAAGGAGGTCAATCCTCGCAACATCGTACAAGTTGTGGTAAGTAGCATCTTCAGTCCATCTCGGCTCTGTTCCAGCTGGAATCAAAGCTGGTAAACGCGCGTCGGACCGTAAAACTTGAATCATGTCCAAGAATCTGAGAGAGGACTGCGCCAATGATGCAATGCAAGATGCATATGCAGCTCGAACCATGGGGCTGGGGTTAGCGCTGGAACCGGACACAAAAGGCTGAATCCTGGGGAAGATATACTCGGAAAACAAATAGGCGTTGACAGGAGATACCACGTGGACCATCTCGAGAAGCTGAGCAAGAGTGCGGATAGCAGCAACCTTTACCGTATCTGTCCGGTCATTCAACATGGTCATGACGTAAGGAAGAATGCGATCCAGTTTTGCCTCGTCTGATAACCTCTCTGCAAAGGCCAGAAGAATATCGCAGGATTTTATACGAGCGGATGCTCTGGCTGTGTTCCGTAAATTAGACACCACGAGCGTCAAGAATATCAGCACCCCATCATCCGTCTGTAATCCTTCAGACTTTGAAACTGGATGGCCGTAATGCGGCAGATCCAGCTGCACAGGAAATATGCTACCAGTAAGCCTGGAATCGATACGGTTGGAGCCATCCTTAGGCGGTTTGGACGGTTCCCCCAAGAAATAAGAGATCTTATCAAAATCCAAGTAGACGCGTTCTATCCTGTCATCAGATTCTCCTCTATTCGCCGACTCAGCGTCCACCTGCGCTCTGCCAGAGGATGGATCTGTCATCAGAGACATGTACTGATGCAAGAAGCTGTAGAAGTACTCCGGGAATGCTTTGTTCTTCCAGAAGTTCAAATACTCATCTGCGGAGTATCTCGATTCCGGTTCAAGCTGGATCATATGAAGGATCAATTCCCGAATCTCCGGGTCCTCAATCTTGGCCAACTGGCTATGTTCCGGACTATATTCGCCTTTTCGGTACTTGTACATTTGACTGAGAGTGAATATTGGTGCTTCCAAGAACAGTTCTGCAATCACGCAGCCAGCGCTAAAAATGTCCATGGCCCAATTAACATGCCTGCTACCCGGTTCTTCTCCGGTCTCAAGGAACCGCTCCGGAGCTAAGTAACATGTCCGTCGCCCAGATGTATCGAAGTAAAACGAGAAATCTGCTGGGTTGTCCTCTGGGAGGAATGTTGGCTTGAAAGAGGACGAAAAGTCCGAGAGGTAGAGCCAATTCCATGACGTGACGAGAACATTTTCTGATTTGATGTCACCGTGGAAGACATCCAGGGAATGGCAGTCCCGGAGAGCGCAGAGCAGCTGGAAAGCAATCCATTTCTTCTCAACGTCTTCCAGGAACGGACGAGTGCTGTCCACGTTAGCGGGGTAATCTGGAATACTAGGATCAATCACGCTCGTACCTTATCCGGTCATACAAAGAGCTGTGAATAAACTGTCGAACAAGATAACCACCTGTCCCAGTTTCCAGGATTCTCTGGTAGCTCAACGAATTTGGCACATCCGCAAGCAGCTTGCGCTCCTCTGGCCACTGTCAGACAACCACTTCAGGAATCCCCAAGAGAGTGAGAAGACATACGATTAATAGCCTTAATATACGGCTCCAGCTTCATGCTCGGATAAGGCTTCATAATTACCTTTACAAAAACCAGGCCATTCCGCTGCCGAGCCCGGATACTCTTCATGAACCGGCCCCCGCCCATCGACTTCTCGTACACCAGGTCGGACAGCTCGGGCACATCGATCCCGGCTGAACCCGCCGAAAGGGTTGTCAGGGAGTATCCTTGTCCCATGGTGTCGATGGCACTTCATCTCACGGGGGTAGAGGGATGGATGGTAATGGTCATCATCCACATTGGGACCAGCAGGAATATGGTCAATTTGATGAAATGCAATAACCAGGTCTCGGGTATTATTGAACCAGTGACACCTGTTATCGTCGAGTCGTACTAAATGATGGATACTTGGAGACGAATGAAGTTAGACGATGACGCGTGGGGATGAAATCACGTGGTAATCTGAGGCGGTGAGGCGAGTGTGTGATGGCATTCTTTGAGATCGATTAGTCTTAGTAGATTTTTGTACGTTTTGAATGGTTGTCTATTGCTTATCTTATTGGAGGATAAGAGACTGATAAAGCGTCTTGGTGTCGAATACATTTTGGTGGTGAAACTCGAGGACAGTTCATCATCACTTGGTGGAACACTATTGCACTAACGCCAGGGATATAAGCATTGCATGGCGTGTGTTTCTTGGTATTTGTTTCAGTTTAGTAAAGTTCTGACCTCATGCTTTTATTTTGCTGCCGAAAAGGTAATTTCTCTTGGGGCTTCACTAACCCAACCCCAGTTACATGGAACAGCAGATATATATCTATGGTAAGCGGAGTTTGCCTACAACCGAGATCTCCTGCTAATTTCGACTAGACACATCGTATTATTATCACTGAGATATACAGGACTCCATGGCTTCTGAAAGCCTGAGATCTTCTTATATATCCGCCCGGCCAACCGAGAAGGAACCGGATATCCCGGTTATTGAGGATGATGAGACACTCGTTGATGTTGTTCGAAAGCTATCCAAGTAAGATCATCCATTACTACACAGTCGATAGTCTGACTGAATTATGACTAGTTACTTGAGTCAGGCAATTCCGGAGGTCTCCTATACATTTGAGCAATTGAGGTCGTCACCTCATGGTCATGATATCCGGTTGCTTGTACATTCCCTGGCGGACAACTCGCGCAATCCATTAATAATTGCTGCTTTGATGTACGTGGAAAGAACGTATCCGACATTTGAAGTAATCAGCTAACATGCACAAGGATCCTAAAATGGCAATTCGAAAACACTGGTGATACAGACTGGGCCGTGAACGAGAGCCGTGGATTCGCCTGCGAATATATAGCCTGGCAGTTCCTCTGTCATCTGACCCAGGATGAAGAAATCGAGTATCTATTGTGGGAGATTCCTAGTCCCCAGCGTAGATCTGCTTCGTTCTCCTTGGATGAAAGAGAAGCTGCCTTCAGAACTGGGGAACAAGGTACTTCGCATGATATTGAAAGGACACCGCTGCGGAGATCTTCGTATATCTCTCGCTTTCTTGGAAGGAAAAGTGACGATGTTCCCTCGGGCGAAGATGCTGGAGATACTGAGGATCCTTTTTATGCGAGACTTTCGCTATTCTTTGGCTTGAATGCTCTCGAGATTGCGACTATAGCACAAGCGAAGAAGTTTCTCAGTCAGAAGGTTGTCCAAAAGATTATCGATAATATCTGGAATGGTGAGATTGTATTCTGGGACTCACTGAGCGTGCATTCAAGAAAGAGACCGCACTTCTTCAACGAAAAGTATGTTTCGATACTCCTAGACATTGTCAACAGACTGACTCCTCATAGAACAGCAGACCCATACTCACGATTGAGAGTTCCTCTGTACCGCAAAGCTTTTGAGGCCGGATTCTTCGTCTCATTCTTGTGCCTCTATTACGCCGTCCTGGTAGAAAGAAAGCCCACGGGGATAGGCGTTTTCGAGACCCTGATGTATATCTGGATTGCCGCATTCGCATACGACGAGCTGAGTGGGATGACCGACGCAGGGGTAGCGTTCTACCAGATGGATTTCTGGAAGATCTGGAATTTAGGAATCATCGGCACGGGGCTTGCCTTTGTTATTGCAAGTGAGTCACTGTGCCTCGCCAGCATTCAGCTGTCTCTTAGCCAGCTGAACTGTGCTCTGTGCCATGGGACTGGTCATGTTAGTTGCATCTCACTAATGGAGTGCTAGGAGTTGTGGGACTGGCAAAGGAGAGTGATGGTATTACGGACATCTCCTTTGATATTCTATCTTTGGAAGCATTGTTCCTTGTTCCGAGGTATGTTCGGCTGCGACAAGGCTTAGTGGCGTTTGTAAACTGACCGCAATACAGAATCTGCTCGCTCGTTAGTCTGAATTCTTATTTTGGAAGTCTGGTATGCCCGACGGCCTGTCCGAACGTTTTCTGGATCGTCCACTGACGTTTCTATGCATAGATACCGGTGTTGAAAGAAATGGTACCCGACGCCTAGTTACATCAATAGCGCACAAGAGAGCAGTAAGGCTGACTTTCGAGCCCTTTAGACCAAAGCGTTCTTCCGTTTCATCCCTGTAGTTATTGTGCTGTACTTAGGTGAGTGAGTCGTACAGGGCATAGACCCGAGACTCTATACCTGCTGAGCCACGGCGCCACATGGTGGAGAGACAATTATACCAACCATTGCTGATCACTCGCAGGGTTCCTAACAACGTTCACGATGCTGGCGCGAGACCGACTGACTCTTCGACAAATGTCATGGATCCTGGTCAAGGTGTTCTTTGGGTACGCGGTTAAAAAAAAAAAAAAAAAACGCCACACAGATCCTAACATTACGAAAATACTAACGCAAGGCAGATCAAACGTCTTGGGATTTGTGCGTTCACTGCCCTTTTCCTCTCGTAGCATCTTTTCCTATCGTTCAAATTCCGGGCAAAATTGGTTGGTTGTCGATGCACGTTGAGCTCTTCACTAACGGTGGCTTAATGCATGATCGATTGGCCCACATAGGATATTGCTCATGATGTAAGTGCATATTTTATTGAACATTTTCGCTGTCATGCATCGGGGTTGGAATTTGTCCGGAGATTGGTTGGCTGTGGTGTGTCGTTGAGGATGGCGCTAATGTGCTTAGATTTCCCCGATCTTCGGCTACGGTTTGATGTAAGTGCGCCACTTCTTACCTGCTATCTGCATTTTATTATTTTTGTGTGAAAGAATATCGTCGCATACGGATTTGATCACGTTTCTTTTCTCGAATCCATTGTGGCGTGGACTATGCAGATGGAGTTTCTGGGGATGCGGTGGCCAGTCCTTGGAGGGGAAAACGGCTAATGATGCTCGCAGGCTGATTTTCGTCTCCATGACGAATTTGCTGTTAATTTCCTCTTTGGTCAGTTTGATGAGTATGAGTTTGGAGGGTGTATGTCACTATCATCCCGTGGCTATAACAGAAATATGTAGCTAACCGGGATAGGTGCTGTCGCATGCGCGCGAGGAATATCTCTTCCAGTGAGTTGAGTACTAAGCGGGAGCGGAATTAAAGAATTGGAATTCAATGGACCAATCGCTGACACCGAAGACTAGATTATCTATTTACGTGCTGGAAAGCAGTAATTCTCGACGACTGACCTACTTCATGCCACCAATGGTTAGTATTATTCCACTGTTTCGAGCCATGTAGATTGCTGTCTCATATCGGGTACCAACCTGTCACACTTGGACCCTCTTTAACAATCACAATGCAATACAGAACCTGATCCCCCTTTTGTGCATCCGACCTTTGCGGCTCTTTCTACCTGCAGAGTCTATCCGTCGCGTTCGCATTCTCCTACTCCGTGCTACACATCTCCCATTTGTCGCTTCGATTCGGGCATACGAAGCCATCCGACGACACCGTCCCATCGCCACCCCTACAACAAGACGAAGGAGCACAAGTACGAGAAGATACTGTTACGACCACGACCCGCTTATAGATAGGGACGAAGCCCCGACGGCGTTAGGGCCCGACCCTGGTAGGGCATTTAGGACTAAAACTAAGGCGGGAGGACAACCCGAAGCGCGCGGACCAGCACCGGAACAGACCGGTCGAGATGTGGTTGAACTGACGGATGTGATCGACGAGGTGGATCAGTTGCGCACCCAGGTGGATCGGGTGGTTGCCCTGATGGCTGTACGGAGGAGGCATTGACTGCTGAATACGGAGCAGACTCGAAACCAACTGATGGTGGTGATGGTAGGAATGTGTGACGATATGGCAGAATGACTCAGGAAGACCGGAAAAAGGAAGGAGAAGAGGGGAAGAATTGACTGATAGTGGGGAGCGGACGGGCCACAGCGGAGAGTAATATGGATACGCACAAACCGTGGAGGCTGGATGTGGTGCTCCATACTCCGTACCATGGATACTTCTACCCATCACTTTATTATTTGGAATACTCAAAGTATACTACCAGTATACTATAATATAAGTATATGATCCAATCATATCCATAGATGTCTTATGTCTACTTTGTACATTGTATACAAATTGTGAGCACTACAGAGTGCTCTACCAAAGCACTTGCTCCTTCCTAAATTGGCAACCGTTGTCTGCAGAGCCCAGCTGTCATTATCCGCTGTGAATGAGTCAATTTTTTTTTTCTCCTTGTTATCCCAATCAACATAACCAACAATTAACAATACAAACTAACAAGGATAAATGCATTTTGGCGACACGCACTGCCAAGACGTTACCAGAATGCCGGGTCAGGGCTAAACCCGTTTTGTATGTACGGTGCATCAGGGCCAAAACAAAAACAGAAATACTTACAGCAAACAGATCATAGTTTAGATATTTGGATATGATCTGTGTATATTTGCATATAGTACAAGACAACCACTGGCTGTCAGTGTTCCTTAATTGTGTATAGCCATCATGCTAACCCAGTCCTGTATCCATAGGGCCCGTGGCTGTGATCGTCTGCCCTAATGAATCAATCGTCAACGCCCTTTCGGATGACCCGAATAATTCCCTTCTGTCGTTCTCTCCGGCGCTAAATCATCGTGCATCGTCTGGACCCGGTTCTGGCTGTCGGGCTACCTGGCTACTGTCTGTCACTCGCGCCTATCTGCCTGTCTGGCTCCAGCTGTCTGGTCACCCCTCTTCCTTCCTTCCTCCCTCTCTCTTTCTCTCTTTTTTTATTTTTATTTTTATTTTATTAGTATTTTTTTATTCCCTCTTCTTTTTATTTTCTACAGTAATCTCCGGATTCTTTTATTATTTTTTTCTACTTATTCCATTTCCCATTCTGTATTTTATTATTTTTATTCTTATTTTGTCTATTATTTTTTTTTTATTCGTCCACCGCTTCAACACATCTCCGTTTCTTCCGATTCTGCCTTGTCTTTTTTTGCAGGCGTTTAACTGCTGTATCGCGCAGTGCCCAGGCGGTCACTCTCTCCATTCCATTGTTATCCATCGTCATCGTTCCTCTCGTTTTATGGCTGCTTTCCTATTTGGTCTCTCGTTTCATCAGCCACAGTCATCCATGTTTGCGGCGGTTGTGCCCGTCCAGCAGCCCTGCTGTTAACCTTCCGTGGCTTTATATACGCCTCTTCCCTCGCCTCTAAACTGGTGACCTATAGATTCAACTTGTATAGATCATCTTTCTATTACTTCTTCATCACTTTTTTACTTCTTCTCTTGCTTGTTTACCCGAGACGAACATTCGAACATTCAACAATACGCTCGCTTCACCATGGATTGGTCCCCGAACTCCTTCTCCCCATCCTCACCTCGAGCCCGCGCCTGGTCCGGAAGCCATATGGCCTTCGATCCCTACGCTTCCTCCGTACCATCAGACTCTTCCCCCGTGTCCGCTCGCTACACTGATTATCCTCCTGTCACTGGGTTGGGCATTGCTCATTGTGGATTCGAATCAGATCCCAATCACTCGAGGCTCTGTCCGCCTTCCGAAACATACACAACCCTCCCCACGACTGGCTGGTCCATACCTTCCGCCTCCCTGCAGCAGAGACAAGAGCACATCCTGGAGGCTGGGCAATATCCTTCGACAACGACGACGACATCATCATACGAACCCTATCATGAGATCGCATCTCCCCTCAGCTTGTACAGTGCCCAAACACTCAGTGCCTCGCCCAGCTACAGTTCTGTCATGGAGCGGGGAGACCATCACAGTACCTTTTCAGGCCAGCCTTTTGGGTACTGGTCGACCACACCCCGCTCCGACATCACTACGCCACCAGAGACTTTCATCAAAGACGAGCCGCTTGAATACTGGAGTCCACCTGTGATTCCTGAGGATAGGAATCCATTCGAAGCATCGACAATGATGATGATGATGCCCATGCCACAGGTCGTCCTTAACGATGGCTTTTCTGACCCACAGCTACCAGCACCCACCACCACCACCAACAACAGTCAGCGGCCATTCGATAAACAAGACCACCAGGTCGAAATTAAACAGGAATCTCGAAATACCCCCGAGACCCCCAATACTGAACGACAGCCGACACTATCAGCCTCAAGCACCGACAGAGACGACACCAAGTCCCCTCCGGTATTGAAGCCACGCATGACCAGCGTTCGCGCTACAAGCGGCCTTCAGTGCTCCATTTGCGGGGCTTGGTTTACCCGGCGCTCCAACCGTCGCGAGCACGAGAAGAGACACGACCCAAGTCGCAAGAGTGTCTATCAGTGTGAGTTGTGTGGTCGAACCTTCGGAAGGAAGACGGATCGGAAGCGGCATATAGAGAGCGTTAGTGTCCCTAGCTTTGAAATCAGCAGTTGATCCTTACTAAAACTTGGGATGTACTACAGATTCACCAAGGACTACGAAAATTCGGTTGTGACCAGTGTGGTCGTCGTTTCACGAGACACGACACGCTGTCCAGGTGTGTACAAATGACTTTCGACTAATTACCTTACCATCATACCAGCGTGGGCACTGACCAAGAACTTTTTTTTTCAGACACAGAACCGATGGATGCAGCCGGAAAGGCCCCAAACCCTCCAAATGAATTCTTGGAAGCTAGACAGACTTGGACCGGAACCCTCGTCCGCGGCCGCGGCCGAGAGAATCAAATGCCGAATCTCACTAATCGGGGGATGTTCTTTTGATGACTTGGTATGACTATCCGGGAGAGTCGAAAAAATTCCGCAAATGAATATAGTAACGACCTACATTGTGACGGGCCCTTTTTTTTTTTTTTTTTTTTTTGGCTTTCTTGGTGGCCACTATGTTCGACCCGCAAGACGACACTAACAATCTTACCCCCATCTTCCGACGTTGCTCCGAATACGTACCTCGGCAAGGAACTAACCACCCTTTATTTTTCTATCTTCATTGGAATGAGATACCATGAAAGACAGGTCCATGGCATTCTTGACTAAGGAGGCTGTTTACTTTTTGTTGGTTGAGTTGGAGGCATGTTTGGGTCATTCTCTGTTCTTTTGTTCTCGTTCTTGACAGCCATTTTTGGAAACCCTTCTAGATTCAGCATATTTTGGGGGATAGAGTTAGGCGTTGGTGCAGGGGCCTAAATGATCAGCCCTTGATTGAGATCATCTTGAGGCTAGAGGTCCTTTTTTTTTTTTTTTTTCTCTCTCTCGTTTTTTTGTCATTCTTGTTTCGCTTCGGTTTTGACAAATACGGAACCATATACCTGCATTGGTTAACAGCGGAAGTGCCCCGGAGGTTGTATTATCACCGATTTGGACAGCATGTTATGGCCTGGTGCCAGACTTTTTTTTTTTTTTTTGTTTCATGATTCACAATTTGATTTTGATAGATTTGAATAACATTTTACCCACGGCTTTCATACTGAATTTGCTAGCGACCACTTGTTTCAGGTCGACTCAGTGATGGGCAGAAGGATGGATAGGGTGCCTTTGACAGGCTTTTTAGCCGTCCGGGAAAGATTTAAGGTCCGTCCGTCGCTTGGATGGGTCCCAACCAAGGTTTGCGAGTCGTGCTATCCAAAGATGGTGCGAGATGGGTCCAACTCAGGACCAGAACCCGTCGATGAAAGCCGCATCCAGGATCGACGGGCATTTTGCGACAGACGCCGGATAGGAATGAAGTTCAGAACTTTCCCCGTACTCCGTGCTCCGTACTGCTTACCGAAAACGTCACCGCGAGCAGCACAGAGATCACCGGTTCTTGTTTTCGTGGTCACGGTGGAGAACGAGAAAAGTGCCGATGAGCCAGTCGTTAACTGCCACGCACGGCGATGGGCCGTTGAACAGAATAAGAATGCATTATTGGACACTCAGGAGCACACAAAAAAAGCATTGAATAATCCAAAAAAAAAAAAAGAAAAGAAAATCTCGTCCTTTTGTTGGATTAATTCGGTTCGGAATGAATACGCAGATTTTCCCGAGTCGAACTTTTCGGATGGGGATCCACAGCCTTTCCGCTAAAACGAATCCGGTACAGGAACAAACGCCAATCGCTATCTCCGATGGAGTCCCGGAACGCTCCTCCGTCCTGAGCTAGTCATGCTCCAGTCTCTCCACAATGGGGGACCTCTATCCTCAACAGGGTAAGACACCTTCGGCGCGCGCGGTTTTTTGACGCTTGTCAACGCTACTTTACCTCCAAAGACGAGGCCGGATTCGCGCGGCTGACGGATCCATTCTCCGTACTTGTACGGAGTACTATGAATGGAGTACAGAAGGACCTCCCTTGTAGAAAAGAGGAATGGAGGACCTCGGAAGACTGAAATTCGATCCGCGACCCATCTCCGAATCAGAAAACTGATTTAATGCAGAGAACAAGCGCGCGATGGTTAGTTCTTTGGTTCTTTGTTCCGTCTGTCTTTACCCCTCTTTCAGCTGTCTCCTCCCCGGGCAGGCAGGGGGCAGCAGTTCAGGTACCAGAACACACAGGCCATCGCGGACCGTTATCCGATGATTTTGCAGAATTCTGAAGATCGCACTTTCGAGTCAGTCTCCGTACAAGTACGGAGTACGGATGACCGTACATAGTGCTACAGTGCTTGTGCAGTGCTTTGTACGGAGAACTTCGCACGTATACGAGACGGAGTAACTACGGGGTATCTCCTAGTCTGACCAATAATCACCAGACGAACGGGGCGAGTACTCTGTGGACAAGCCTAACCAGTGCTTGTTCAGTGTTCCGACTCGGGATTTGAAGTCAACTCATTCGGAGTCCATGTCAGTCTTCAGTGGATCGTTATATTCGTACTTTTGAGCTGGGCTTGAGCTACCTGGGCTACTGTATGCTTCGTTCTACGGAGTATGTACGGAGTGTTTACGGAGTACTCCGGACACGAGGTCGTATCCATGGCATGTGAACTAGGACTCAATTGATCCTGTTGACGATCTGAATCACTAGATAGAATAACTCAGAACTACCCTCTTCGAGCCGTCGACTCTGTATCTCGGAGCACAACCTGTCAGCACAAGTACGAAGTGCTATCCTCCGTATGGAGTACGGAATGTTGACGCTTATGATGACAATGAAGTACCACAATGATAGGCCAATTCCCAACCCCAAGTTATACAGCATAACCACAACAGTCAACACATATCCCTCTTAGCAATGCTGCCATTTCCCCTCAGCTGAATTTGATGTTGCATTTATGCCCAACCCGCCATTGGATATTCACAACACAACCAGCCATTGCAGCAAAGAATGAGATACTATTTGCCAGTGACCATATAACAAACCCAGAATAAATCCTTATTGTGTCACAACATCGTTGTTTGTCCCCCTAAACTCTGGATGTGATTTTGCCAGTGTTGACCGCCCCGCGATGCGGGCGGATTTATTATTGACTGGTGGCCTTCTCCATCTCCCCGAGTCTTATCCGTACCCCAGATTCAACAACAGAATTTATTCTAGTCGGTCGAGTCAGTTAAACCAAGCAATGAGTGCCACCGAGACCGTGACGCGGATCACCGCAGAGAACGTGGCGACGATTTTCCCCGACGTGGACACCTCGCTCGCTCGTGAGGTTTTCCCAACTGCTTCGACGACGACAGCGCGTGAGGGCAATGAACTTGAGGGATATGATGAGGAGCAGGTGCGGTTGATGGATGAGGTATGTATCGTCTTGGACGATGATGATAAGCCAATTGGAAGTGCTAGCAAGAAAACTTGTACGTCCCCCCCCCCCTATTCCTAAAAAAAAAAAAAAAAAA